TCATTCTCTCTGTTTATTTTATAAAATAGTTAAGACCAAAATTCCCTCATACTTACATCAAAAGATAAGTTTTCGGACTGACGTCCATCATATTAATTTAAGGAAAAGGAATGCCATTACCATTCCATCTCATAATAAACAAATATTCAAAAAATCATTTAGCTACCAAATTGCATTGAACAGTCATCTTCTTGATATACCAAATTTCAGTCTTTCATTAACAGCTTTTAAAAATAAATACAAACAAATTTTTTTACGCGAACAGACATTTTAAATTTTAAGTCTTTTTTTGTGATTTTTAATATTTATTAATATAGATTAAGGTTCCTTTCACTAGTTAATTATTCTTTTAACTGTATTTTTAAATTATTCTAGATATGTATATGTATTTTTACTCTTTATTTTACTTATTTATTTTTTCAATGCGAGTGAGGTAGAATTGGTCTTATGACCTATCACTCGACCTTTTATTTGCCTAATTAGTATATTTAGTGTATTTTTGTTTTTTTTTGTATTTTTGTACATCCTTTATTGGCAAATAATAAACTATTATTATTATTATTATTATTATTATTATTATTATTATTATTATTATTATTATTATTATTATACTCGATAGCTTTAAGATTAAATCTCTTTTACAAAGAAGAAAGCAACAGGCTGTAATATATTTTGTACTCTATTTTAAATAATGTTAAGTACAAAGATTGTAAAAAATTAATCTAAGAATCAAGAGTAACAAAAAATTATTTAGTTTAGATCCAAGTAGTATATCTCCTTTTAAAAAGATGATGACTGTTACCAATGAGTTTCTTAGCGAGGTCCAAATAGATATCTTTAATGTTAGCCTAAGAGAAAGTTGAGGACTCTACTAAATTAAGTTCACTAGATATAAAGGTTTGTTTTGTTTTTGTTTTTAAATTTCTTGTTACTTAACTCTACATGTAACTACTATTAATTTTTTTATAGTATCCAATAAATAAATTATACCTTATGGCTGCTTTCAAACAATTCTGTGTTTAAAGTCAATTTTAAATTAGTGAGTTTAATAAGAATGTGAAATAGTGATATGTATTGTGTCTATGAATTTGCTGTGTGTAGTAAATGGTCAATATAAATAACTTTGTTATTTTTATTGTAAGTGTAAAAACTACGAAAACCATATACATATAGTTCCCATTTTTAAATAAATTCAATTAAATTCACAGTAAAGTCACAGTATATATTTGCAAAAAAAATACACTAAATATGTCTCCGTTATAAATTTTTATATTTAAAACTACATACGTTCCTATAGTATATGCAGTACCTAAATAACGTATAGAATAAATTTCTACAATATACTAGAAAAGTTTTAGATTAGAGTAATTCTTAAGAAATAAAGCAAAACCTCCATTTTGTTACTCTAACCTTGTGTGTTATATATTTCCCTTGACAAAGTAACGTAATATTTTAAACTAAAAGTAATTAAACTTTTCACTAAAAATCTGATGTGTCCAACACATGACTTTCCTATCTAGTTATTATAGGCTTATTCAGGTTATTTTGTAAAACCTATTGCAGCACCTCTATAAATGTTTAGAGGATAAACTAAATATATACATGTTCCACAAACATCTAACTCGACACATTTTTCTATAATATATTCCATAAAATATAAAAACGGCGTCCCATAAAGTACCCCCCCCCCAGATGTTCCGCCTTCGTCCAAAATCTAAACATTTCACCTCAGGCCGAAATAAAACTTATGTTTAAAATTTAATGTTTTTTCCTTTATCCGTTTTTGAGTTTTCTTCAAAATTCGAAATTTACACATTTTCTCAAATATCTAGAATACGGTCCATTTTAGAGAAATTATGTATAAAATAAAAATTATAGAGAATTATATTACAAACAACTTTTATTTGAATAATTTTTATAAAAAATTAATTTTTTTACATTTTCTAAAATTTCTAGAATACGGACCATTTTAGGAAAATTTTATATAGTACAAAAATTATAGATAATAATATTGTAAGCAACTTTTATTTGAAGAATTTTCTTCTCCAAACGTAAATAACGAATATATTCCATAAAATATAAAAATGACCACCAATGAAGTACCTCCCCCAAATGTTCCGACTCTGTCCAAAATCTAATCAGTTCACCGCAGGAAGGAATAAAGCTTAAGTATAAAATTTGGTGTTTTTCTTCGTATCGGTTCATGAGTTATGGGGGATACAGACACATACACACACACACACACACACACACACACACACACACACACACACACACACACACACACACACACACACACACACACACACACACACACACACACACACACACACACACACACACACACACACACACACACACACACACACACACACACACACACACACACACACACACACACACACACACACACACACACACACACACACACACACACACACACACACACACACACACACACACACACACACACACACACACACACACACACACACACACACACACACACACACACACACACACACACACACACACACACACACACACACACACACACACACACACACACACACACACACACACACACACACACACACACACACACACACACACACACACACACACACACACACACACACACACACACACACACACACACACACACACACACACACACACACACACACACACACACACACACACACACACACACACACACACACACACACACACACACACACACACACACACACACACACACACACACACACACACACACACACACACACACACACACACACACACACACACACACACACACACACACACACACACACACACACACACACACACACACACACACACACACACACACACACACACACACACACACACACACACACACACACACACACACACACACACACACACACACACACACACACACACACACACACACACACACACACACACACACACACACACACACACACACACACACACAAACACACGCACGCACGCACCCACACACACACACACACACACACACACACACACACACAGACATCATCCCGAAAATAGTCAAAACGGATGCAGGGAACCCCAAAATGTCGAAAACTAAAAATCATGATTCCTATACTTTCCTTATATCTGTAAAAAGTAATATTTCACATATAGGTATAAAAAAATTATAAAACGGTTCTGTCCTTCTTACATTTGCGAAGACTGCCCTGATATCTAATCGATTTTCTTCTTCAAAGTAATTCAGTTGTTCAACCGTTGTCTATAAAGGTATCTCACACCCCGCTCATACACACGAATTTGAAAAGCAGCAGAACAAAAATTCAACTAACCAGGTATACCAAGTCCGTGTAAAGAAAACTTCTCATATCCTGAAAACATCAAGTGTCAACTACAATTTCTACTTTTAAAGATCAAACGTGCCGCCTCATACTTTGATTTTCTTTTACTATACGGAGAATGGTCGCACTACGCAGCTTTCTGAGTGCCTTTTAAAAGGAGATAGAAAACTCCGCTATTTTGAACCCTTATTACGTGTTGCCTACATCTTGGCGCAATATTTTTAATAGGTGTGTTTTAATCATCCGCTTCCGCTTCGGAATTGTCGGTTTTCTTGTTTTAATCTGACAGGTTAAAACGACTAAACCGACAATTCCGGAAGCAGAAGCGGATGATTAAAACGCAACTGATATTTTGTTTGCTGCTGTCAGTGTCAGTGAATATTATTTTTGAAGTCACAGTTTATTGTTAAAGAATCAGTTAGCTCATTCGGACCAGTTGAAAGTTCCAAAATAACATCCACTCCAGGGATACAAATTCAGGATACGCAGAAGACTGCTGTTTTATTATAGGCGGTTGTCATATATTGTATTATCCGAGTTGCGCAGTGTATAAACTGGAACATTGAGATCAAAAGTGCCGACGCAGAGTAAGCGATCTGATTCTTTACCTATAAACTGTGGGATAGAAATCAAAATTTCCGCGCCCTATGTTGGGCTTGTCGGACCTCTCTCTCTCACCGTATAGTAATCAAAGCACATAATGGGGTTGCATAATGTAATGTGGTAGGTACTCAGATTTGTACTCAGAATGTAGTGTAGAGATTTTGTTTAATTTTAAAATGATTTATATTAGCATATAGGTACACTATCGGTTATCAAACGTTTTCAATACGCTTTGTGAAAACAGAGAGTTAGCATTAGCGCGAACAGGAAACGAAAATATCAGTGTTGCTGGTTTATAAGGCACGGTCAACGTTATATTAACCAAAACAAAGTTATGAAGATAATAACTTCTTAAAAATGTTAGTCTCATAAAATTTAATGTTAATTTTAAATCTCTATTCAACTATACATTTATTTTGCTTTAAAGCTAAAGCGAGAAAACGTTGATGACCAGTATTGTTTTGAGTTCCGCAAAGCCTTTGTGGGGGCTCCGCGAAAATAATAGCCATAATAAAAACAAATTCTAAAGGATTACTATGAGGAAGTTCGGGATGACCTGGTTTTCACTAAGAAAGGCTCTGATTTTGCTTGAGCATCTTTATATTTTTTATTTTTAGAAATACCCGGGGTTGCAAAGTAAAATAAAACCTATCTAATTTTTTTAAGGCTCCGTCAAATATTTCGCTTTTCAAAAAGGTTCCGTCGCCAAGGAAGTTTGAGAAACACTGCATTACCGGAATTTTCTAGGTATGCAGCTGACGCGTATGGGAAGCACTCGAGATTCTTCTAGCAGGATTGGTTCTTTCTGGGCCGTTACATTTTTATATAAATAGACGCGACTTTGTCGATAGAAGTTAATATTCAATGTAAGTGTTGTAAAGACAAATTTTAATAAATAAATTACATTTGTGAATTATAATAGTGCCTAAGTATTATATACTTTAATTATAAATAAAGTATTTGAAATAAACTATTTTTAACTTAAACAAACGTCACATTATATATACATTAATTCAAATAAATCATATTACTTACAGACGTGTACAATTGGTTCACTAGCCATTTCATAAAGAATTTTATCTACATAGGGACTGTCTTCAGGGTATAATTCATTTTGAGCGATGTAGTAGTGGAATTTCTCTAGATCGGTGGAGTTCTTTCTGAAACAAAAAAAATAAATAATTATACGACAATTTTTACAATAATATATTAAAAATATCTTTAAAAATATAATTCGTTCTTGTCAAATTATTACTAATTTAATTATACATAATATTCATATTTTAAAATTTAGAAAGAGAGGATAACAATTTATGATATAGGCGATGCACTACAAGTTGAACCAGATAGTTTATAATTCGAATGTCAGATGTAAACTGATTTAAATAATGTTTAAATATGGTACATAAAATTTAAATATTGTAATTTCGCTCTGAGAAAAATGATTTTAAATCGGATATATCTAGTGTTAAACAACAATTATGTATTTTAAACATTTTATTTGCATAATTTGTATACTGAAAGGAATTCTTCTTTCAATATAAGTTAAAATTAACGATAAAGATTTAGAAATTCTTGGAAAACCTTACTTAGCAGGTATTTTCTTTAATAAAAACGTTTTTCTTAAAAAATAAGACTGAAAAAGTAAAAAATATATACCTAAATAATTGGCTTCCACCAAATTTCTTTTGTAAACCTTTTTCAATTACCTAAACTGGGCCAATCATTGTGAATACCTTAAAATATCAACCGCTGGCAACAATATTTCGTGGATATTCGATCAAATAACACATTCATTTTAATATCAATTCGGCGAAAGAACAGAAAGAGCTTCAGTTATAATAAAATACAATCATTTACGATTTAGAGCGGAAATTGTATATATTTGGAAAGTCTACCACAAATCGAGGAGAAAAATGTATGAAAGAAAAAGACATGGATTATTTAAACATAGAAATATAAGTAGATCGGTGGGTACTGATAACATAACACGAAAACATTAATATTTAATGATCAGATTTATTGTATGGAAGACCAATTACAGCAATAAAATCATGATCATTATGTTTCCGTAGGTAAAAAATTTGTTCGAGTTAGAACTATGAAAAAGGGAAGAAGGCGTATTTATTTATATTATAATTATGACGAGACTATATTTACATGATGTCAGTTGTTACATTTTGTTTCAAACTTTCTATAATATTCCCTATTAAAAGAAAAAGAAAATATGAGATTATTACGGCGGTATTGACCATTTTGGTTCATAACTTTTAAGTTTACAGCAGATAGTCAGTTACCACAGAATTTTATTTGATACAGGTTGATAAATAGAGCCACAGGAAATCATAATTATTATATTTATTTTTTAATTAGCGTGCTAAATTTAATTTTTGTTCATTCCAAAAAATCTTGATTTAAATCCAATAAATCTACTTCTGTCTAAAGTTACTTGATACTGACTGAACACTGACGCAGTAATGCCATTAAATACAATCGTACAAACCCGCAGTTGTACTATCCCGATCGTCAATATAATATACGACCGTATTCCCTGTTAACGCATTAAAATGCGCCCTCTGACGGGATCCCACCGATTGAGATCCATTGGTCTAAAGCGACAAATTTTAGTGGAATGATAAATTTACTAGATATACCTACGCGAAATAGATTTAAAATTCCTGATAGGGAAACGCCTTTTTTGGATTCGGGAATGATTTTTTTATATACAAGTCTGACCAATTATTTCTGCTCTGGGTATAGAAACTAACCTAGAATATTAAAAAAAAAATAAAATAAAAAATAAAATTCAGTATTATAAATAAGACCATTTCCAATCTTAAACTGCTATATTAATTGTTTTTCGCCAAATTAGGTGTTATTTACCTAAAAAGTAGTAGATATCCAGATAAGGAAATTCAGGTCCGTACTTATCTGTAATTCCATATCTCACACCGCCCAAAACAAACACAATAGGTTCTTTCGTTCGCTGTTGGTGCAGTGTCCACTAGTGTAAATTACACCAGTTACACCATCTTATTTACCCTAATTTACTTCCTTCTTATTCCTTACACACATGTCGAATGTAATTCTCTCCATTTAAATCGCCAGGACCTGACGGTATCTATCCAGCCCTATTTCAGTGGAATCTGAAAGAACTCACACCTCACCTGGTGGGTATATTCAGATCCTCGTTGGCTCTGAGGTATATTCCCAAAAAATGGAGAGAGGTAAACGTGGTATTTATACCCAAACCTGAAAGGATGGATTATACTGTCCCAAAAACATACCGACCAATTAGTCTGAAATCGTTTTCCATGAAGACATTGGAAAGACTATGTGAAAGGTACATAACGTGATTACAACAACACCACTACACCCAAACCAACATGCATACACCCCAGGCAGATCTACTGATTCAGCCCTTTATCTAGTTGCTAGCCAGATAGAAAGATCCCTGGACAATAAGGAGTCCGCCTTGGGTGTTTTTATAGACATAGAAGGTTATTTTGATAAAACCACCTTCCCAAAGATAATAACACTCACTAACCAATAGGAATGTTCCACAAATGGTTAGTGGGTGGATACATAACATGCTCTCAAAGTGAGCAGTAAACATAAGTGTACAAGATGTGAATATAAGAGGCTTGGTTGGGAGGGGATGTACACAGGGAGGGGTGCCATCACCTCTACTGTAGAATATGGTCCTCGACACCCTCATCAGCCGCCTCATTAATGACAGTCACTACACAATAGCATATGCAGATGATCTGGTCATTCTGCAAACAGGTAATTTTGAGAACATACTCTGCGAAAGAATGCAAGTAGCTCTAAAAATTATAGAACAGTGGTGCAAAGAACATTCACTGTCTATCAATCCTACGAAGACAGAAATGGTCCTTTTCACAAGGAAAAGGATGAAAATGGAATTAAAACCTCCAGAACTCCTAAACACAAAACTAAACTTTGCAACAGAGGTGAAGTACCTAGGTCTCACCTTTGACAGCAAGTTAACATGGAACTCGCATTTAGAAAACAGAGTTAAAAGAGCATTCCGCCTTCGCACGGTTGGAATAGAACCTAATGTAGGATCTGGTGAGGCGAGATTACTTTTGGCAGGAGGCGCTCGATACGCTCCCACTGCTTTAAGCGAACTTGGACTCCATCTCACCGAGATATGTCTTCCATAAATCATATAAACTTTTAATAGAACAAATAGAAGAGCCAGAAGTGGCAGGTACGATTCATATCCAAACCGACGGTTCTAAAACAAAACAAGGCTCAGGATGTAGAATATACTCCAAATTCTTAAACCTAAACATAAAATGGGCTGAGAGCAATAGTGACAGTGTAGTTCAAACAAAGCTAACGGGGATTCTCATAGCAGCAAAAGAAGTAAACAGAAAGAATATCGCTGGAAGGAACATGCTCACCTATACAGATAGCAGACAAGCACTACTTACCCTGAACAGACCACGAATTTATTCAGGGTTAGTACTAGAATGTCAAGAAGCTTTGGCCGAAGTATCCATCAACAATGGGGTCACCTTAAGATGGATTAAAGGTCACGCCACATCGAAAGGTAACCGTCTTGCTGATTGACTAGCCAAGAAAGCAGCCAATCAAACACTTTTTGTACCTGGCCCTTCTATTGGCCTGACAAAATCGGTAGTGACAGACCTAATTAAAGAACATTTCCTCGTGAAATTCAAGGAAAGATGGGATGAAAAAGAAACTGCAGCGGTGTCAGGGTGCTTTTAAGTTATCATGACATTGCAACAAACAAATACTTGACTATGACTAGACATAATCTGCGCCTAGCCACAGGCATTCTGACTGGTCATTACCAAGTACGGAAGCATCTCCATATCATGGGGCTGTCAGAATCCGCACTCTGCAGAGGGTGCGAACAAGAAGATGAGACCATCGAGCATATCCATTACCTCTCATTTATTAGTGTTAGTAGATTTGTGTTCGGCGAGTATCGGCTAACACCGGCCGATATAAGAGAAGCACCTCTTGGCGACGTTGTCAACTACATTAAATCTGTAGGCTGGCTCACGAGCTAGGAGGTGTCTATCATCTTAGGAGGATGCACAATGGGAATAATGAGGCCTAAGTGCCTTGGGGTAACCCACCCTCCACACGTTACAGATACAGATTCACTCCTGCTAAATAGCTGGTAGAGAAAATATCCACCAGTGGACACCACATCGCAGACAGGAAGGTATAGTGGGTTTTACATCGGGCCAAACGAATGGTTTAGTGTTATATACGTACATATCAATATCAATACAGTAGTTAATGAACTGGCGAATTGGCGCTGTTCGTTAACTCCGTTGGTTATCAACCTAAATAAGAATATAAACATCAACACAGTAGTTAACCAACTGGCGAATTGACGCTGTTCGTTAATTCCGTTGGTCATCAACCTAAATAAAATATATCTTGATGGCAAATAAACGTGCTCTGCATTTGAACGGGACTCAAGTGAGATCTCAGTAAATAGTACCAATTGTAATATACTTTGCTAATTATTGCATCACATTTAAAGTAAGGAAAATAAAAGAGTTTAAATATAAATTTGTCTGGTTTTAATTAATAAAAAAAAATCCAATTACTCAAATAAAACTTCCTATTTTCGATTAATCGATTATATTGGAATAATCGATTATTTTTTATTAATCGATTATTTATGGATCATATATCACAGAGTACAGCAAGTTAGTTAATAGTTGTAGTGTTTGACAGTTATGATATTGATGATAATAATAATAACTACACTTAATAAAAACCTAAATTAAACAAAAAAAAGAGATATTGGCGCTTGTACAAAGTTTTGAACCGAACTTAAATTATTGGAAAAACACCAATTTTAAATTATCACGAGCCGTCTCTGCATTCAAACCAAAAACTAACTTTGGAGTGAGGGTAGCCATATGTGAGTAGTAGGGATTAAGTATAAAGGTTAAAGAAAAGGTCCTTTATTTCTCACAAGTTGACTTGTGAGAAATAAAGGACCTTTTCTTTAACCTTTATACTTAAACAAAAAACTAACTTTTTTAACACACTCCGTATACGATAATTACACATTCCGACAAGAAATCGACATTAAGAAAATTAATGAAGCTACTTCAGGGACCATGTTCGTCACAAAGAAATT